CAGCAAAACATTTAAAAGATATCCAGATTTTCGAATATGACTAAAAGATTGAAATTTTTTTAATCGATAAAAAAACTTTCCAATGATATTTTGTTTTTTTCTTCCTTTCTTTAATTATATTTAAAATTAAAAAAAATTCATATATATCTATTCAAATCATTAATTATCTATCCTTTTAATCTAAAATATCTATTAAAATTCATCTATAATCTATCATATATATTTATTTAATATTTAAAAAAATCTAAATCTTGGTTAAAAATTTTTCAAAAATCAAAAGTTTATCTCATCACCTTTTCCTATATAGAAATCTCAATTTTTTTCTATCATAAATATATCTATCTTTACTTTTATATTTTATAAAAATTTATTTCATAAAAATTTTTTATAAAAAATCCCATTGACAAACCCTCATTTTTCCTGGTTTCTATCAATATCTTTCAAATATAAAACCTTTAACTATTATATACGTCTAAAAAATTTTTATTTTACATGATTTTAAATTTTTTATGATCTTAATCATTATTTTTATTTGTTTTCATTTTTGCCAGGCTTCACTTTTCCTTTGCATTTTTGGTTAAATGGCGCTTCATTTCATAAGACCATAAATGAATTTGGCATGGTTTTTGAAAAATTGTTAATCTTAAATTGAAGTTTTTTTGTTATTTTCCAATTTTTTTCTTTATTTGTAAATGATTTTCATAATTTTAATTCTTTTTATTTTCTTTATCTATATTTTTAAAAATAAATTGGTCATAATTATATATATTTTTTTCAATTTATATATATAATTAGTTACCGGAAAAATCTTATTTAAAAAAATTGTTGATGAAATTATCTGCATCTAATTTCTGAATATCTTTTAAACTCTAATTTCTTCTTTATATATTTTTATCTATAGATATATATATTTATAAAAGGGATATATTTTTATTATTATATATTTATTTATGTAACATTACAATATTATTAAATAAAACCATTATTTTAATTCAAAAAAATTTCAAGCATTTATAAAGAATTTAAATTAATATTTTCTAAATTATTGATTAAATTTATTCAAATATTTGTAAATCATATTTACAAGAATTATTTCAAATCAATGATAAAAAAAATTTAAAAGATAGGAATTTTATTTTCATCCTGTTTCAAAATATTTATAAACATGTATTTTAAAATTCTATTTATAAAAATAAATATATATAAAACGCATACATTTAATTAAAAATAAATGAAAGGCAATATCAACTAAATGTATAGTAAAAAAGTAAAATATAGGATTATATTCTGTCTTATAATGATATATAATATTTAAAATAAATTTTATTTGTCATATTTTTGAATTTATTTATAAGCATTTATTAATATTATTAATATTTTATTAAAAATATATAATTATTTTATATAATATATATATGTTATATAAATATTAAATTTTTTTAGTCATATAATATATTGCAAAAATTTATTAATAGGTATTTAGATATTTTTTGAAATATTTAAAAAATCATTATATTTGAAAATAGTAGAAAATTAAATTTTAATAGATTTTATAATGAAATTATTTCTTTATTATTAAATTTTTTTAATATATTTTTATTTTTTTTTAGATAAATTTGATTCTAAATTGAAAATATATACATTTATGTGATAATGTTAAATTTTTTATTTAGAATTAAATTTTAAATTTCTATGATTTATAAAATTATTTATATAGAATATATTTTTTAATATAATAGATAGAAAATTTTTTTATTAGATTCCAAATAATTGATTTTTTCCATAAATTAAATTTTAAACATATTGTTTATAAATATGATTGATAAAATGAAACCTGATGTTCCTTTATAAAAATTTATTTTTGAAAAGAAGAGACTTATATATAAATGTTTATAGATTTATATTTTATATTTATATGAAAAAAATTATTTGATGAAAAAAATTGACAAAACATAAAAGATCTCTGATAGATAAGAATTTTTTTTATCATAACATATTTTATTTATTATATATATATTTAGATAAATATATATATATTTATATATATATAAAAATATCCATTTTTTTGATAAATAAATATTTTGATAAATAAAATATAATTAAATAGATAGATAAAGTAGATTATGAAAGATATTAAAAACTATAAAATATAATTCATGAGATTTTATAGAAATAGTTGATAAAAAGGTTATATGTTTTCCATAAGTTTAATTAGATCATGTTTCTACATTTATATAAATAAAAATTAATACAATCCTAGATAGATATTTTAATAAATTTGGAAAGAATCAGATTGAATAAATTATTAATTCAGAAAAAAAACAATTATTTTTTTTATTTTCGAGATTTATTTTTTTATTGATCAATGATAGATAGAGAAACATAGATAGATATTTTTATAAAATTTTAATATTTTTAGATAGATATATAGATTTCATAGATAGATAGTTTCAGAAATATTATTTATTTATATCTTTCAAAAATATTTTTAATTTTTATTTAATATTTAGATTTTATTTTTATGAATATTTCAAGGATAGATATTAAATTTTCAGATAGATTTTTAATAGATCAAAAAAAATGATTTCGATTCAAAAATTTTTTTTTTTTTCCATATATATATATATATTTTATATAATGATAGTTAATTCAAAATTTGCAATTTTAAATTTTCCATAAACAAAAAATTCTCATATCTGTAATTAAATTAAAAAGATGAATATCTTTTTAACAAGGATTAGATTTTTTTTTTTTTCAAAAATTTTCAATTTTTATGAACAGAATTCATAGAAATCTTTTAAATAAAAATAATTAAAATTTAATTTAAACTTAATGACATTTATTCAATCAATTCTATTTTCAGATAGATAAACATTATATTTATATAATCTATATATTGTCCATATTGATTTATATGAAATAATCTTGATTATATTTATAAAAGATAGATTTAAAAAATTAATATTCAAATTTTTTTTTTTTTCACATGTTTTAGCTGATTTTTCCCAAAAAAACTGTATAGTTAGTTAAAAATTCATATTTTCTGAAATATTTTTTCGTCGGATTCATTTAAATTTTTTAAAGATTGGAACATTTCAAATAAGATTTATGTTTCACAAATGTAAAATTTGATTTACCAAACTTTTTTCTGTTTCTGTTTTTTTGACTGAATGGAAAAATTTTATAATTTTTTTATTTTAACCATATTATATTATTTATTTTCTGATTTATATTAAATAAATTTTTACATTAAAAGGAATTAAAATAAATAATTATTTCTATATAGTAATATGAATTTAAGAAAATAAATTAATATTTATATTTTTTTATTTTAATTATTAAAAAAAAAAATTCAAGATATTTTTTTTTTTCTTTTAGTTTTAATATATATATTCAGAAACCAAATATAACCTATATATTGTAATTATAAATATAAAAGAATAAAACAATTTATACAGAGACCAATATATATATGGGTTTAAAAGAATTCATTAAATATTTTTAAACAACTAAAAAGAAAAAAAAATTAAAAAGATAATCAAATAAATAGAAAACCCCATTTTTTTTTAAATAAATCCAGGTTAAAGGCTGGATGCTGAATTAAATGCTTAAATATTTGGTTTTTTTCATTTATTTTTTTTGAAAATAAATTCGAATTTTTCACCATAATTCAAATTCAAAAAAGTCAAAAAATCCAAAAAAAAAGTAAATATATTGAAATTTGTCCCATAAAAATTCATCCTATATTATTTAAATTTTTATTTTGTGTCGTGAAATTAGATTTTTTATTTAATTTTTTATGATTTTAATGAAGATATATTTATATATAAATAAATATTGATAAACCACTATATAATTTTCAATCCAAAATATATAATATATGGAATTTTAAAATGTAAAATTTCACCGATTTTGATTTTTTGATTTTTATTGAACATTTTTTATATTTTCCACATAATTCTTTTTATGTCTATTTTCTCCTCAGTGAAATAATCCTTTTAAATCTAGTCGTCCATTATCGTAACAAAGTTTTGATCATTTTATATTCTAATATTTGTCCCACAGGGTTGTTTTATCAACAAAAGAATAAATTGTAAAGGATTTTATTTTATGAAAAAAAAGATTTTTTAAAATGAGAATTAGTTTGAAATTAAATCTTATTTAAATTCCTGGAATAGTTTATTTCATAAAATTAGAGTTTAAATTCCCAAAAAAAATATATAATATTATATTTATATATTTAATGTATAAATATATTATTAAGAACAAAAAATGTATTTATTTAATATGAACTTTAGGAATGTTTGCATTAAAACCGTTTAATACATGATCGTTTCATTTTCTCAAAAAAATTGAACTGAGGTGAAAATATTTTTCGTTCCGATCACACCTTGTGCAAATTAATTGAAACAAAACGAATAATTCCGTTATTATTTACTTTTTTTTTTCGTATTTTTCCAATGAAACATGACCCAGTGCACATGTTAGTACTTCGTATGTCCATTCCACGAAGTCCTTCCTTGCAGATTGACCACAGATTCTCGATTGGATTTAAATCAGGAGAGTTTCCAGGCCAGTCTATAGTACTTTGATTTGCTCACTGGTAAGGCTTGCCAGTGTGTTCGTGCAGCGTTACAATTTTCGTACACTTCCTTGGAGTAATGTCCATCGCAGACAATGGCCGTAGGACAACTAATCGACAGTTGAGACAATAGTGTCTGGGCGTGATATAAATCTGATGCAATCACGGACGACGCATTATTTTATACACCCCGAAAATAGATTCATATTACTGCACACCACTGCAAATGACCCAATCTGAGGTAAAAAATAAAAATCGATTACACCCTGTCTCTCCAGTGGGTCTAAAACTGACCGTATGGCGAAAGAAAGAAAACTAAAGTGGTTGTTTTAGTTACTTTGCACATTTGTATGTATGCTTGTTTCTTGTTTCTTCAAAGATTTTCTGAATTTTCAGTCTTCAGTTTTTATCTGTAAAAATGTTACTCCTTCGAGAAAATGCAATATCGCCGCTCAGCACGATTCAAAAATCGGACACTGAGATAAGAATTCATCGTTCGGCTGCTTAAAAAAAAATGTCTCATATGATAAAGCTAAATGAATTGCACCTTCTTCAATTCATTCTTGAACGGGAAACGCAATTTAAAATGTAACTTTTTCTTTTTTTTAAATCTTGGATTTTCTTTCATGTAATAAAAATAAATCGACCGTGAAATTACGTGCAGTCGAGTGGATCGGATAGTTCTACAGATTATTTTCTTGTTTTTAACTAGTCTAATATTTTGCTACTCCCAGTGTATTTATTTCTGTCTGTCTGTCTATCTATCTCCATCTGTTTATATCTATCTATCTATCTTTTTCGGTCCTTCCTTCTTTCCTTCCTATCTATCTATCTATCTATCTATCTATCTATCTATCTTTTACAGATCTTCCGATCTATCTATCTATTCAATCTATCTATCTATCTATCTATCTTTTACGGTACTTCTTATCTTTCTATCTGTCTATCTATTAATTTTTCAGCCTTTCCTTTCCTATCTATCTATCTATCTATCTATCTATCTATTTTTTCAGGCCTTCCTTTCCTCTCTCTCTCTCTCTCTTCTCTCTATGTAAACTCATCCACAATGAAATCTATCTATCTATTTATAATTGTTCAGATTTTTTCTATCTTCATCTATCTATATCTATCTTTCTATCTTCTATCTCAGTCGATTAATATCTATCTCTCTGTCTTTTTTTATCTATCTCAAATTTTTATATCTATCTTCTATTTAAAATTTAATTTAGTCTATCTATCTATCTAAGTTCTTTTTTTTTTAACTTCTTCAACGTTATTTTTAGTGGACACTCGTGTTTGGTTTGACGCCCTGATATCCAAACAGTATAAAAAGTGATGACTACGATGTTTTTATTTTATTTTTTTATATCAAAATTTTCGGTATTTAAAATAATTTGCCTAAAATTCCCGAAACCTTATTTGATGTACTTCTTATTTATTTTTTTTGTTTGTTGTTGTTGTTTTGTTTTTAAGCTATAACTAAATTTCAAATCCAGTGCATGTTACTGACTTTTCGAATGTTCAGCGGTTTGTATAAATTTATTATTTTATGGCCTTCTTTTTTCTATCTTTCTTTCTTTTCTTCGAAATCATATTTGATATGAAAAATAATTTACTATTTTTTTATTTTTATTGTGCAAGAAACATATTTAAGATTTAATTAATTTAAATAAGAACGGACATCTAGTATGAGTTGATAACGATAGCGTATGTTTAGAAAACCGGTAATCAAAATGGCTACAATTGAAAGAAAAGAAGAAAGTAAAAAAAAGTTTATTTTGACATTGAGTGCAATTTTAAATAAACGATTGAAACGACAAATAACGGCGATATTTTTGTATATTTTTCGCAAATACATATGCAGAGACAATTGCATGCAAATTAGCATTTGAACGCACATATACATATGAACCCCCAAAAAAAAAATGCAAAATATTTAATAAAATAGGAAGTAAAAACAGTCAGTTGCTTATAAAACTGAAGAGTGAACAAAAGTATTCCCAGAATTCTGTTTACGAAACTTTTTACATAAATATGATAAAAAGTTGACATTAATCAGCTAAGTACAAAAATAACTTATTTATTATTAATTTATCTATTCACACACAACACACACACACACACACACACACACACACACACACACACACATTTCACATATATATATATATATATATATATGTATATATAATAAAAAAAAAAACAAAATGTTCCATGGTTATAATTTATAACATTGGAATCGTAATTAGGATCCAAATCATCAGAACCTACAATTTCAAAATGAAATCGGAAATATAACTCCGAGTATAAGAAGAAAATTTTTGTTCATTTGTTTTCCCTTTCATTATGTAAGTTGTTAATTTTACCGTCATTTAAGTCTTTTTTTTACAAAAATTTCTGCACAAATTACATCATATTATTGTATTTATTATAATATAATTAGTTTTATAAAATCTTTTTTTTTCAAAGTAAGGTTTTATTTATATATATATATATATATATATATATATATATATATATATATATATATATATATATATATATATATATATATATATATATATATATATTTCTATATATATATATATATATATTTCCATAAATAATATATAAATTTTATTTTCATTAAAATAAATTCTATTTTTAATATATATATATATATATATATATATATATATATATATAATAGTTTATACATATGTGTGTGTGTGTTCTGTTTTAATGTTGATGAGTTTATGTAGTTCATTTGTAGAGGCTCCGTTTATCAATTTATATATATATATATATATATATATATATAT